AGATGTGGCCGGGTGAGGTGGCTCACGCCTGTAATCCCAGCTCTTTGGGAGGCCTAGGCAGGTGGATCATGAGGTCAGGAGATCAAGACCATCCTGGCCATGGTGAATTCCCATCTCTACTAAAATACAAAAAATTAGCCGGGATATGGTGGCGTGTGCCTGTAGTCCCAGCTACTCAGGAGGCTGAGGCAGGGGAATCACTTGAATCTGGGAGATGGAGGTTGCAGTGAGCTGAGATTGTGCCACTGCACTCCAGCCTGGCGAAAAAGCCAGATTCCATCTCAAAAAAAAAAGAAAAAAAATGTATCAAGGGTTCGGAGTCTTTTGTTCAGCTATCTTAATCTCAGTGCTAATTGGAATTGTTTCATCACAGCAAAACTCAGTCTTGGGTGGCTCTGTTAGGTGGAAGAGCGTTGTCTAAATATCCAACTTTTTTTCAGGGTTTCAGAATGCACATTCTCTGTTCCCCACACATCGCTGTCAGGTTTACTAGCATCAGCCAATGTCTAACTCCTAATTTGTCATTTGCCACTTTTTTCCTATCCCAAGTACTCAGCAATTAGAGTGAGTGTTGGAGAGGTCCTTCCCCACAAATTATTGGTCCCTCTTCCCTCAGTGGTCCCAATCTTGGTGCAGACAGCAGAACAGTATTAGATGGGGGCCTCTGCACTACATATATCTGGCTCCCATTTATTTATACAGAACATTTATTTCATAAATCTTGCAGACTATCATCCACAACTGACAAACGTTAAAAAGCCACACACATCCGAATGGCTTTATACTATATTTAATCAGTGTTGCTGTTAGTGGCATGGCTCTTTTCAGACACTTTACTCCAGGAACCTACAGTTTGCTTCTATTATTCTCTGCAGACAGCACATGCTGGTGCTGTGACTGGATCATAACATTTGCCATCATGCAACCTGCTGCCATTAGAACTGCAGTATGTTACTGACAAGGTTAGCATAGTGGGTATCAGGGGGTGGCTTCCTCTGACTCCCAGGCTGCAGGAACTTCTTAATTGTAGGGATGTTGCTGATTCTTGTTTTAAATGCCTGAAATGAGAAACAGTAAAATCAGGGCCTCAATAGCAGTCACAACCTTTAAGAAAAATCTCAACTTTGTCATGAGCTGAGGGTGCTTAGACTTCAGCTTATGGAGCACAGTGTGTTGAATCTATGTTAATCCCTCAAGTGTTTGCTGGATATTCCTGGAATGGGTAATAATACAATTGCTGACACGCTTAACATGAGTTACATTATCTTACTAAAAAGTTACAATCAGGCAGTACATATCCCTAAAATATTCATATTATTATTAGTATTTTTTGAGATGGAGTCTCACTCTGGTGCCCAGGCTGGCATGCAGTGGCACAATCTCGGCTCACTGCAATCTCCACCTCCTGTGTTCAAGTGATTCTCCCAACTCAGCCTCCCAAGTAGCTGGGATTACAGGTATATGTCACCACACCTGGCTAATTTTTGTATTTTTAGTAGAGACAGGGTTTCACTGTGTTGACCAGGCTAGTCTTGAACGCTTGACCTCTAGTGATCCACGTGCCTCAGCCTCCCAAAGTGCTGGGATTATAGGCATGAGCCACTGTGCCCAGTTATATTCATATTCTTGGCCTATCAATTCTTGTTTTAGGAATTATTATAAAGGAATAAGTAAGGGTGTGAGCAAAGAAATATCTATAAGAGGCTGAGTGTGGTGGCTCATGCCTGTAATCCTAGCACTTTGGGAGGCTGAGGTGGGAGAATTGTTAGAGCTCAGGAGTTCAAGACCAGCCCAGACAACATAGTGAGACCCCCATCTCTAACAAACAATTTTTTTTTTTAAAAAAAGAAATAACTATAAAAATGTAACAGGGGCCAGGTGCTGTGTCTCTCACCTGTTATCCCAGCACTTTGGGAGGCGAAGGTATGTGGATCACAGGGTCAGGAATTCTAGACCAGCCTGGCCAACATGGTGAAACCCTGTCTTTACTAAAAACACAAAAATTAGCCAGGCATGGTTGCATGTACCTGTAATCTCAGCTACTCAGGAAGCTGAGGCAGGAGAATCGCTTGAGCCCAGGAGGTGGAGGTTGCAGTGAGCCAAGATCACACCATTGCATTCCAGCCTAGGCAACAAAGCAAGACTCTACCCCCCGAAAAAAAAAAATTGTTTAATTTTAACATGGTAAAAATTAGAAAGAACCTATGTTTCTAGAAAAGGAGACTGGTTATATAAATTATGGTACTTCTCTACAAGAAGTATAAACTAGTAATTTAAAATGCTTTTTTGTAAGGGGAAAGAGGAAGGTCCTTGTATTGACAAGTAAGGATCTCTAAAATACACTGTTTATTAACAATTTTAAAAAGCCCGGGGCAGAACAGAATATACACTATTTTCTGTTTTGTGCAAGAAAGTTGGGAGTGGCAAAGAATATGACTATATATTCTGATTTGCTTTTATCTGCAAAAATGAGAACATTGGAAATTATACATAGGATGCCAATAAAAGTGATTATGGAAGCAGGATGGTGGGAGGGAAGGGGTGCGAACGAGACTTCTGAATTTATGTTCTTTTTACATAGCTCTGATTTTTTTTTTTTTTTTTTTTTTTTT